ACAATGAACGCCGCTGACCGACCGACTACAGCGGAGTGCCGCTGGACAACCAGCCTACTGGCGTTGCGTCATTTATAAATTTGTTAACTGGTTATTTGAGACATTTTTTTCGCGGCAGTAAATTGAATTGCTTTGTTCTCTCTTATTCTCTCATGCAATCATTTCAAGGGGGCGGTAGAGTATAAACAATGGTGTGACTACAGGCGGATTTTTCACGCCTCACACTTTGCGCTCGTTCCCGCGCTTCGCGCGCGCTCGTGTATCGCGCTAGAGTCCGCTAATCCGGCTGTACTGCAGGCTAATCAAACCTGAAAACTAATATTAGGGGCCAACGGCGTGTACATAAACCCGAAACAACGAAACGAAACGAGCGAAACGAAACCACCGAAACAAGCGAAACGACCGAAACGAGTAAAATGGTAAGTAAATAAATAAAAAAGTTTTAAAAAAAAGCCTTGATCTCTAGCGCGTTACTATGGCATTCTCGTCCCCATAGCCCTTTTCGCTCCTCTTAGCCGGGAGGGCCTTGGCTGGAGAATCGAAGGGCTCTGGAGACATTTAGGATTTTGCAGTCCTAGATGCTAGGACTTCTGGCCTTCATGTATGCAGTCGTAATGTCTCTACATACTGTGTGGGATTGTCAATGGCGGCCGTCGAGCCAGGATTCGAGGAATCTTTGTATCAAGCCCTGGGTGGTATCAATTTAGAGAATCTTTCCCTTCGTGTTAAACAGAGAGGCGATAAGGAACATTGTTGTTTTGAAGAAAGACACTAATTTTTCACCTGCTTTGGCAAGTCATTGATTTTTCAGTTATTACCCTTTGTTTTTGACTCCTGGCATGGAGCAACTGAATCGTTTATTTTCGTTGTTTCACCTTTAAATGCGAGATCAGACCATGAAGCAAAACGATTTGCAGGTCAGCTGTCTAATGGTTTGGAATACTGAGACAATGAACGAGGTTGAAATTGAAGATATCAAGCAATCGAAATATCCAATAATTTATGACTTCCCGGAGGCATTTGTTGGA